TTCGCGCTGAAGCAGCGACATGGATTGAGGCCGATGTCTTGCCAGCGTGTAGCTCTCTCTCGCCTTGCCGTCGTGCGCATTCGGATCAATGCTGGCGTCACCGCGCACATTCCTCTTATCAACTCAAATTGTTTAAAGGATTGGCGACGCCTCCTGTTCCAACAAAGAGGCAATCGATCGAGATGTCTTCAACAAGACTACGGGTCGAGGACACATACTCTTAAAAACGGGGCGCTCGTTTGGAAATCTGTTTGGGCTTTACATTCGTCCGCGATCATCCATGCAGGGCGGATCCCTGTGAAGAAGGTGTTCCTGCCAACGGCACGCTCATGGGGCGCTCGTCTTTCGAGGCGGCCCCATAAGAGAACAATAATACGTGCACGAGCCCGTGGGAATAGACTCTGGACGAAAGGGGCGCTGCGATATCGCCGACTCGTCCTGGGAGCTCAAACCATTGAAGAGGAGGATAGCCCGGCATACGCCGAGGAGAAGCTCAAGGAGGGGGAGGAACAAGGGCGGAGGCGGCCAGGGGGTCTGAACTGACCGAGACCCCAAAACATCGGTCAGGAATGGGAGTGAAGCCAGCTCCGCTCAAAATCTGTCCCCGGACCCCTCCCGCGGTGCATCTTGTCCGCCCCGCCTTCCTCGAACCCAAAATCTCGAACCTGCCTGCCCGTCCTGCTGGCTGGAATGCCAGGCCACCTCAGACCCCCAGACCGCTCGAGGCCCGGCATACACCGAGGAGAAGCTCCGGGAGGTCGGCCGCGGCCCGGCGAGGCGGCCTCCTGGTGCGTGTGCAGGGGGAAGTGTGCCTCCTCGGGCGCCCTCCCAGCTGGCCGTTCCCCGCGCCATCCCCTCGAGGGCGAGGGCGGGCAGGAGAACGACGAGGACGACGGCGTGGAGGTGAGGAGGGGGGGAGGAGAAGAACGAGCACGAGGGAAAAGGAAAAACACTTTTTTCCCGCGACCACTGTTCAGGCGAGAACCTCGCATCCGACAGCGTGCCTGAAAAACCAAGAAAAAACGAACCTAGACAAACTGGCCTCAGAGGACGACGGACCACCGCCGTCCTTTCGTTGCTCGCTCACGACGACACCACATCTGGATGCCGCTCAAAGCCTCCCGCCTCTCTAAGGTCGGGGACCCTGGTACCCCCTCGGCCACCGCGTGGAGAGCGCGGTACGAAGACGAGGACAAGGAGGAGAAGGAGGACGAGGAGGAGAAGGAGGAGGACGATGACGAGAGGGTGGCTGAGCGGGCGAAGGGAGGACGACGAGTACGAGGATGAGGGAATGCCCTCCTCATCCTGTTCATCCTCATCCACCCTCTCCTCGTCGTTCTACTCAGACGGGGGAGAGGAAGGTAACGAGGGGTGAGATGGAAGAGGATCCCATTGAACCTCGCTAATGCCGATTCTTCCTGAAGTCTGCGAGGGATGGGAAGAGGGCACGTCGGAGAATTGACGTAGCGATGCGGCGGGGACTGGGTACCGCAGTCGTAGGCTGAGCCAACAGCATCCACTTGAGGGACTTTGAACTTTGCTTAGAAATCCATGCAGCTTGGCATCGCCGAGAAGAATGCAGATCCCATCTCAGAGTTGCTGCCCGCGACGAGGCGCGATCGCCGCCAGAAGGGCAACCATGGTATGAAAGCGTCGGGGTTTAGGCTTTAGCGTTTTCGCCGCGGTTCCTTTCCAGGTTGGCTCTGACGGCCGACTGCCTCGACCAAAATTGACAGGGGGGGAGATGGCGAAGAATCTGGAGAATCAGTGCAACGTACATTCCAGAAGAGTGCCATCGGTAATCCAGAAAAGCACCCTTCGAAAGCGACGACGAGGGAACCGACAAGGACGAAAGCGAGCAAGAGGTCGAGGCAGAGGACGCGGACGACGACGGGGACGGCGACGAGGACGAGAACACGCGCGAGGGTGGCGACGACGAATACATGAACAACAGCCTGGAGGCGGCCGGGGGCTCTGAACTGGTCGGGACCCCAGAAAGTCGATCAGGAGGGGGATATGAGCGTCACATAAACAAACTATTGCATCTGAGCGAACGGATTATTGCAGCTCATCTTGTGCACGGAGTATCATATGATATACGTGTACAATCGGCACCATCACGCGCATGCTTGTGGCACCCTTTGCAAAGGACTCCATAGCCCGACTCAAACCCCTCCAGGGTCCATCTGGTCAATTTTTCCCCAATAATCCATGTTTCACGGTCTGTGGCCCGATAACGGCCCACGGACGCCGAACCCCCCCCCCCCCAAAAAAAAAACTTCCTGAACCCAGAACCGCGAACCTGCCCACCCGTCCTGCTGGCCGGAGCCCGTGCTGGGCATCTCAGACCCCCAGACGGCTCCAAACGATAACGAGGACGACGACGACGACGGCGACGACAACCGCAACGACGACGATGCGGGCGGCGGCTCCGCAGCGGGCTCCAGCTTCGAGGGCGGCGCCGAGCTGGAGGCTGCCCCGGGGGCAGCCGCGAGAACGGCTGGGGCGGCGCGGGTGAGGCCAGGGGCGTCCTCGGCCCTCCTCCACCTCCTCGATCCTAAATCCTCGATCCTCCTCCTCCTCCTCCGCCTCCTCCTCCTAGTCCTTTCTCCTCCTTCTCCTCCTCGCTCCAACTCGCTCCTCCTCCTCCTGGCTATCCTCCTCCTCCTCTCCTCCTCATCTGGAATCCATTGTAAGAGAATCTCCCCCCGCGGCCGGCCACCTCCTCCGCCCAGGAAGACACAACTAAAAAGACATGATTTCCAAGTTTCCCAATATCTCATTTTTTATGAATGGTCGGCTTCCCTTCCGTTTCCCTTAGTTTCCAACGTTCTATCTGAAGCTTGCGTTTGGTTGTGCTTGTGTATATTTCCCCTCCTGATCCTCCTCCTCCTCCTCCGTCGCCGTTGCACTCCTTGCCACCTTGCGTGGCGGCGAACCGAGGTGGGGTGGGGGGCGAAGGGAGAAGGCATCAGGCTTCTTCGAAGGAGCCGGGAAGAGCTCTCAAAGAGAGGAGGGCCATGAACCCCCCTACACTCTTGAACAAACCCGAACCCCTCGCTCAAACCCCCATCTGCATGCCGCAGAACTGTCGTCGTTGTCCATTGGCTTCCGCACCACATCCTCGATGCCTGGTCTCAGAAGCTGCTACCCCTTCCTGCCCCCCTCCGCAGACCTGTCTGGTGCGGGGGCGCGTTGTGACCCGAACCCCGAGGCGGATACCACCGTGCAAGAAAGGGAGTCCCAAAAGGCTGGCAAGCATCAAACCAACCACATCGTCGAAACAGTTTGGCTGCATGTGCGCCGCCTCGTGCGGATCGAGTCTGATCTGAGGGGCCAGGGTTTGGACAGGCGGCGTGTTGTTCGAAGCAACTTCCACTGCGGGGCGTTACCCATCCCCCCGCCTCTCGCAACAACGTTGTGCCCCCCCCCTCCCAGAGTCTGGTTATACCCCTCCCGTCCCCTCGCAAGCCTGCCTCCTGTTGTCTTCGCGCGGACACAGGACTGCTACCATTAAGTCTACTTCGAACCTGGTATCTTCCTCATCCTCCTCATTCTCCTCATCCTTCGTCCCCCTTCCCTTCTCGTCGTCATGGCTTCCGTCCTCTTGATTTGGTGCGCAACCTGATGAATATCCACCGAGCAAAACGCATCGGCAATTGAGCAGCGGCCAGGGGCCTCACAAGTCCAGGCAACCGCTAACGCATGCGCCACCGCCAGTGCCCATCCAAAGGGATCGCGGCGGGAGGTGGCGCGCAATCGCACAAGTGAACGAAGGACAGTGTGAGCTCGACAATCGAAAGTCCCACCAGCCCTCTGAGCGCAGGTGGTCTAACGAGATTCCTCTTCCCGCTTCCGAAAAAAACTCTTCCCCTACAGGGAGGGGTTTAACACTGTTCCCTATTAATATACACCCCCTCCCCCAGGCGACTGGGAGCCAACCCGAGATATGAGGGCCCCCCCCCCGCCATCCCTTGTAAAACACCCATACAAAACGCTTTCTGCCTTCAAATTCGGAGCATGCGCAGCGAACCCGATGCGGCCTCCCCCCGCCATCCCTGTACTTGGCGGCGGCGGCGGCGGCGGCGGCTGCGGTAGCTGCGGCGGGGGCAGCGGCTGCGGCGGCTGCGGCGGGGGCGGCGGCGGTGGCGGCGGGGGCGGCGGGGGCGGCGGGGGCAGCAGCGGCGGCGGCGGCGGCGGCAGCGGTGGCGGCAGGGGGTGGCGGCAGCGGCTGCGGCGGCAGCGGCTGCGGCGGCGGCGATTTGGCAGCGGGGGCGACGGCGGCGGCGCGGCGGCAGCGGCAGCGGCGGCGGCGGGCGGCGCGGCGGCGGCGGTGGCGGACGGCGGCGGCGGGCGGCGCGGCGGCGGCGGCGGCGGCGGACAGCGGAGGCTGCGGAGGCGGCGGCGGCGGCGGATTGGCCCCCAGTAGCTGCCCATCCAAAGACGACTGCTGACTATGCTGCGGCTCGGGCCGGACTCGGGTGCTACGTATGTGTTGGGAGGGCGGGTGGGAGTGAGCTAGACGGCTTGCGGGCGGGGAGGGAGTCTTGACCACTCCCCCTACCCTCCCCTGGATTTTTGTTGGGGGTTCCGCGAGGTGTCAGGGCGTTCAACACGGCCTCGGCGAGGAAACCAAAATCACTGGTTCTACTGAGGTTTTGGCCCCAGTTTGGCATCTTTGGGGGGGGGCGAAACATGTCCCACCAGCCCTCTATGCGCCAACATCACTGGGTTTACTAAGGTGTCTGGCCCCACGTTGGCCTCTTTTTTCGGGGGGGCTGAACGCTATCCCACGAGCCCTCTGGGCGCCAACATCAGTGGTTGTAGTAAGGTGTTGGCCCCATGTTGGCCTCTTTGGGGTGGGCTGAACCTTATAGCATCTCTTTCAAGATGGCCATCAAGATGGCTCCAAGATGGCCTTCCACGGCTCCCTAAAGGGCCCCAAGAGAGCCCCAAGATGGCCCCAAGAGGGCCCCCAAACCCCTACTAGAGCCCCAAGAAAACTCCAATATCATCGTAAAGAGGCCAAGTAGAGCTCCAAACGGCGATTTTGAGGACTCATGGGAAGGGACGAAATCAAAGACCCCCCATCCTTTGATCCATGCTCTCCTAGAGGCCCCAACAGGCCTTCCAGGGCACCAGTCGCAATACCAACAGGGCAAGCAACAACATCAGCAGCACCACCACCACCAGCAGCAGCACCAGGGATCACACTCTTTGGATCCCTCCACCTGCTCCTCCTGTTCCTCTTCCCCTCGCCCCCGCGCGGCCCCCAGGGATGGCCCGAAGAGGCCTTCCAAGGCCACCGCCTTGCTCCCAGAGATCTCTCGGTTCATCCTGTTGCTCGCTTTGTTTCCCTAGATGTGTCCCTTCGTCCTTTTTCCCGTCAGCTCTCGTGGGCAAGGTTTCTGAATGAGCTGGTGGGGATATTTTTCCGTCGCGGCCGCAGGCCAAGGGGCCGACAGCGTCAGCAGAGTTAGCTCGGGCTACGACAAACCTAGTTGCCGGCGCGCGCGCCGCGCAAGGCAAGCCCTACCGCCGGGGGAAGCAGCTGCGCCGGGGCTGAGCTGCGCCGAGGGGGTGACTGCAAGCTGCGGGGGCGGCCAGGAAGCTGCAACATGCGTGTACCATGGGAGCTGAATCGCCAGGCGCGTGACTAGAACCTTGTCGCCACACGGCGCCAGAGGTCAGGGCAGCGGACCGACAGGTGTCACGCCTGGCCGTTCAACAAGGCTGAACCTCTCCTGAGTGAACCGGCGGGCCCGTGCCCGATATGGCCAGCTAACAAACCAGAAACCAGGGAAAAGCAATCACTCGTGCCGAAACTGGTCAGAACGCATGTCACCTGAACGCAAGTTTGTCTCCCCCGGCACCACGGACCAGAATGAGAGCCACAGGCGCGAGGAACGAACGCATCCGCCGAGGGCAGAGAGAAACGCCGGGAAGCCTGCGGCGAAGCTGGTGGGGATACGCGAAACGTGAACAATTGGGAGAGGCGCACCCAATGCCCCTCAGGATCGGAGGCCTGCCGCGTCCGCGTGGCAGGCATGGGTTGGTGGCGGCGCTGACCCGACGGGCGCGGAAGGTGTTCTCACCGAGAAATGTGCGGCCGCCCCCTGTTACTGCATGGGGTGGGGGGACACGGAGCAATGAAAGAAAATTCTTTGCCCGTCGAAATGCCACCACACAAATGAGAGATTACAACTGGACCTGGGGCAGCAGCTCGTGACCGCGCGCCGCACTAGTAGGCAGGATGTCGCCTTTTTGTGTGGGCGGAGGCAACAGAGGACGGGTCCCAAGGCCTGTGGAGCTACCGCGGGCAACCTTACGCACAGCACGGGGTGTTTCGTCAGTGGGTCGCCCGGATCGTCTCGCTCGCGCCACCGTGGCTGCCCACCCCCGCCCCCATGCCAACCGTCGGGCGGAAGTGAGGCTTCAACGCGGGCCTCGGCAACTCCTGGGCACATGAAAAGAGGACCTGGGACGCTGGACGCGTCTGGCATCCGCGCGCGATCGCACGCGCCTCCCCCAGGCCACCACCCAAGCCGAGCCCCCCCCCCCCACACACAGACGCACACCCACGCACACACAAAGAGACACACACCGAATACAGAGACAGACAGACACAGAGACAGAGACACAGGCACAGACCCAGACACAGAGACACACACACACACACAAACACAAACAGACACCATGGCCAGTGGCATGGTTTAGGCTGGCAGCTTGGGGGCGTGCCTCGCTCGAATCTCGAGCGATCGCGCCAGCTTCGCGTGCCGCCCCGCGTTTCCGACGACTGACCCGGCGACGACTACCTGTGAGGGGCCGCCGCGCCTGCAAACGGCTTGGGGCGGAATCGTCCTGCGAGCTCGCCTGCACGTCAAGGCGCCTGCCGTCGCAGCTGGAAAACCAGAAAGCACCTGGAGCAACAACCGATCTCTTGCGCGGGCGGCAGCATTGCCTTGTTTGCTCAGACGGACGGCCTGATCACGGGCGCAGCACCTCCACCCGGGCCGGGCCCCGAACAGCTTGCGACACTATTGACCTCATCTGGGCATCCAGGCGCCGCGTACAGGCAGCGCGCCTGAATGGCCTCGCGATCGGCCCATCGCTTCCCGCGGGCCTAAGAAGGCACCCCTTTTTCCGAGTGCGTGTGCTACAAGTTCAAGGCAGGCGTCAGACGGCGCAGGGCACCTGCCGCGAGCCTGGTGGCCCCGCATCGCAGAGCTCGGAATCACGCCCTGGCAGACATCTGAAAATATGTGACAGTCGGACCAAGGCTGCAAAAGGACTGCCGCATGCACGCTCGCAGAGAAACATCAGGCGGAGCGCACAACCAGCTGTTCTGGACTGGCAGCGCAGCAACGCACTAAGGCGGAGGAGGACGAGGAGGAGGGCGAAACACAAAGCGAGCAAACGCGAACAGGCAGGAGGGGGGAGGACGGCCAAGGCACAGCAAGCAAGCATGGCGGGGGCGGGCGGGGGAAGGGGCGCAACTCG